AACGGTTGCTCACAGGATGCGTTCCTTCCTTGCGTGAATTCATCTTCTCGTCGCTCGTTTGTTGCATTATGCAGGCCTAAACGCATGGATAGTTTACAATGCATAAATGTTACGCAATAACTCTACGAAGGTTACCGATATCGATGAAGGAGCATCGTTGTCATGGAAGGCCAGGTTAAAGAGAAGCTGCTCGATTAAGGTGGATATAACCACGCTGCAGGATCTAGAACGTGGACACAGTTTTCTGTATACGTTTTTGAAATTTTAATTCGACAAAAATCGATTTACAAATTATTAATTTGATCTTTGAAAAATCAGGAAGTTGTGGAATCACATTTGACAAATGTAAAACGTTGAAAAATTGCAAATAGTTTCATACTTGTTGATAACTCAACCAGGAACATAAATATATTGGTTAGTATACGTCTATTCTTATTTAATAAATGTATTCAGATATCTAAACAAGTATTTTACAACCCCATACGATTTTACTCGCGTTATTTTGTACGCAACTTTCACTCTGCCATGCTCTATTATTACCAGTACTGTATTATTATACGATTTCATCATTTATTCAATTTGTTATATATATATATAAGTCTATGACCACGTGCTTGATCCCTTCGTTTCCATTACAGGCGTAAATATCCTCGGGTATTTCCTCGATTCCGATGATCGCAGTCAGCTGCAAAGGAATCGAGGAGCCGTCACTTTTTTCCTGCTTGATGGATGTCGGCCGATTTGGAGCCGTAAATTACATTTTGAACGCAGCGAGTGTGCAAGAGGAGGGAAACGCGCGTTAGCACGTGATCGAGAACAGATTCCCGAAAATCACCGTACTTTTTCTCCACGCCAAGATGCCGACAATTACTTACGGCGCGCAGGAAAAGCCTAAGCACGGATGATCGATCGGTATATTTGTTTCTTGTTCCGCCGAATCTAATGAGTTTGCTGACGGATCACCGATCGCCCAAAAACGACGATTTCCAAGAGGATTAACGATCGAGGGAGCAATACGAAAAAGAACGAATACCTAAAGACAGGAAACACTAACAATTTCCAGCGTCTGAAATTTAGTTTTGTGGTCTAAAAATCGAGATTGGTTTATAATTGTTTTGTAGTGTGAAGAAATGTAATTAATATTATAGAATGCATGTGTATAGTTTTAATTCGAAGCAAACCTGTTCGTTCACGTGCATAATTCAAGGTAAATTACTAAATTATAATACATAGCTAATAGTTAAATGATAATAGTTAATAAATTAGTTTAATTATCAAGTGAATTGCCACGATTTAAAAATTTCAAAGGATGAGCTATTCACATCGCTTTCATGAAGTATCTTTTCAGCATTTTGTCTTTTTTTAGATACTAGAAAATCAGCATCGATGGATAGCTTTCGAACGAATTCGTAGTGTTTACAAACTATGTGGTTCGGTCCATTAACCCAGTTTTCCAGGACTGATAAACCAAAAAATGTTCATTTATGCAAACGACTCGATACTCTATATACATTAACCCTCGATTGAGGTGAATGGAATCTCCGCTATGAAATACGGCAAGTGCGCTATCAAATGTAAGAGATACGGAGAACACAGGTTCGAATAGCCCACGTACAAGCATCGATCAGCGTTCGTTATCGTGAAACCGGAAATGCTATTACACGACACACGATTGCCTCGTCATTCACGCGTTTACAGATACATTCGTTGAATCGAACCATTCGATTTGTTTATATCCATCCCCTATGGGAGAATCTCGAAACTATGCTTGGAGGATTTTTACGCCAGACTTTTACTCTAAAATTCTGTGTCCAATTCAATTCAAAAGAAAATTCCATTGCTCTCCTAAATGATAATAATAATAAATATAAAAAAGTGTCCTTAAAATTCCACAAAAATTCATACACAGCGTGCGGCCGAATAATGTATACTAACGGGAACGAGGTAGTTCCTTATGAACAAAATAAGAACAAAACATGCAATAAATGTTTTTATTTAAAGCTTAGTTTTTCAGAAAATTGAATTCGAAAATCCTAATCGTACGTATGCTGTCTCGGCTAAGTTGCGTAATTGATCAAAGAAACTGTTGTTCATTGAACGTCTTCTGTGTATTTTTTCTTGAACTCGGTAACTTTTACATGCTGGGTAGACATTGTTTATAAACACGATACGCGTTATACGGTGCTCGACGAACCGTAACTCAACCGTAACAGCGTACGTGCGAACAAGATTTTCAAACTCGATTTTCTCAAAAACTAAACTTTGAATGAACAAATTCTATTCCATATTTTGTTGTTATTTTTGCATAATGAACCATCTCGTGCCCGTTGGTACATGTTATTCGGCCGCACTCTGTATATAGAGGAAATCTAAGTAAATATATGGTCAAAGTTGCATACTTTAACATGAAACAGACTTTCTCTAAATAATTTCCAAACATTACCTCGAAAATCGATATTCGTAGCTAAGAAAAAAACGACTGTCCCCTTAATCAAGGTTCCATTTGTGATTAATAAATTATTGGAGTAAAATTCCAATCCTGCTGATCTCCGTCGTACCCCAGCGTGCCTACATTACCAAAGACCCTTGAGCTGGTATTTATTATCCCCTTGATCGACGCTATGCAATGCGGATTTCGCCTGCAGGCTGCGTACGTAGCCACGATGCTCTCTCGAAGCTTTCGCGTTAGAGCTTTCGCAATTTCAGTCCCCAAAGGGTAGACGGCACGCGTTTAAACTCCCATCAGGTTGGACGACGAAACCCGGAGTAACTGTAGCACGGCGTTGCTTACCCACATCGAGGGGGTAGAGGATGGCGTAGAAGCTTAATCGGCCGACTAATTCCGAACGCGGCGTGGTGTAGTCCGTAAATCGCGGCCAGATTCGAGAATCACGGGCGATCGGTGATCGATGACGCATAAGTCTTCGTAGATCCCTAATCCTGGACCCCTTCCTTCGAGAAACGTCGTTAGGAGAACGTTAAGGTTTCTTTCACGTCTTTCAACCCAGGTGATGAGTGTTATTGGGCCACTGTTTTTGCGAAGATCGACCTTAATTGTTGCTACTTTCATTAATGGCGAACCCTTGGAGACGATTATTTATTGTTTTTATTGAAGACTCTGTATATTGTTCTACAGTTTGTGATTTTAAGAATATTGGTCGTCACGACAACCAAAAATGGTTGACAGGACTTTTCGTTAAGGAACTACGAAAACTCCAAAGGCGAGGCAATTATAAAAAGTAAAGCTAGATAGGATTCGTGAATTTGGAGACATTAAAAAATTCTATACTACGACAAATGTTAACTTATCCGATCTTCAATAGTCCCGAGACATAATTTTAACTTTGCAACAATTTTCGCGAGTTCTAACTTGGCAGCCAACGCGTTAATCTAGACGCGACTTTGCGTTTTATTCTTTATTACATACGTTACAACGTTGCATACATTTTTGGAGAGTTATGGCAGAATTTGCAACGACACTTCTTTCCAAAGACTATACTTTATTATTTGCAATAAATATGTTTGTTTTATTGTATATTTTCAGAGGAGAAATGATACCAGTAAAGTTTGAATCTTAACGTAGTAATTTTTCGTTGGACATCGAACAGAAATACAAAAATTTCGCGCCTACGTTACGTAGTAGTGAGCATGTGTTGGTAACATTAAATATTTAGTCGGGGGGATGCGGGCGCTAAGTGAAGCTTAACTATATTAGCCGCTGTCTGGAAGGTTCATAACGATCAGCATCGAATTACGGTGTCCCCTAGCCTTGATAAGTACTCAGTTTACCTGGAGATGGCGAAAGGACGCTTTTTAACGTTTTAATGGCTAGACGCTCAATCAAGGGAGGGCGGCGTCCCTTTGGAACCTCTAACGTCGAACAATAAATTTTGAGTGCCATTTTCTCGATGTACGAGTTTAATGTACGCGGTACTGTTCCAAGTATTCGGTTCTGTTTCAAGTCGGCAGGAAGGGTGACAAGAGTTCAAATGCACTATAGAGGGGGTTTTATTTAACTTGGACGCCTGGAATACTGTATTTTTAACACTGATAAAAATTTCAGGTAAATGCTACGTATTTCATAAGAGTGAATTTTGTGATTAGACTAATTTTATTTAGGGTTACTTCGTGTTTAAATTATAAGGTTGTCGGTGTTCCTTATCGTCTATGTAAATATATGTATTTTTGCTATAATATTTTTATAGGTTATCGGAGAGCAAATTCGTGTACATATGACGTGATTGCTTCGAAATATTTGGAGATATTCATGAAACTTCTCCTAATTATTGTACGGAGCAATTAAAGTCTAAGAGTATCTACTATTATACAATTTCTACCTGAAATATTTTTTTTCCTGCAATATTTGTTCCTTCAAATAATATTTCCGTACTCGAAATATTTATACCATTTTTCATGTATAATTTCATGTTAGGGTTAGTAAAAAGAGACAACACAACCATATGAAATATAATTAGATAACCAGGGAATGCATACAACTATACATTAAAGAAATAAACTAAATTAAACATATTCGAAAGTGGCCACAAGAGTGTGGTTAAGACCTAATCATCGCAATGTAATTGTTGATTCATAGTAAACCGATTAAGACTTATACATATAAACAGCGCAAAATTACACATACAAAAAAAAAGATAAATATATATGTTGAATTGAGTAACCTCCTTTTTCGAAGTCGATTAAAAAATAGAAAGCGGTCTTGCAAACTGGAAAAAATATATTTCTATAAGAAATCTAGTACATAGACTTTCTTCGTCAATCGTGACATAACACTGTCTCCGAACCCTCAAATAACAAAAACAATAGACAAGTTGACCTTGAATAGAGAAGCTTCAAGATCCAGGCTTCGTAGATTTAAGAGTCGCAAAGATCACAGCTCTAGTTCCGTCTAAAAGAAGCCAACCGAATAGGTTTCACCCGTCCGATTCCCGCAACCGATTCGAAACGGTCAATCAAACAATCAAATAAATGCATAGACTTACCGAACAGCGCCGGTGGCTCCACGTCTCTCACAGACAGACTGGAAGATGCCTGGGAGCCGCTCGATTCCGTGCTCTGCATGCATCTGAGTCTTCTCCGGAGCTTGGGCATGTCGAACGGCAGGTCTCTTAAATCGACGCTGGTCGCGCTGCCAGAAGTCGTGGCGTCCTGTTGCATAAGCAATCGCCTCCTTCGCAGCTTCGGCATGTCGAACGGGAGATCGGATAGCTCGGGCTCGTTGTCGACAAGATTGATGTTATCCAGCTGCGGCTTCAACAAGTGGAAACCGAACGGCTTGCACTTGATCCCCGCCCGCGACTCGATCGAGATTCCGCTGTCGGACCCTTGGATCTCCGCGTCGCCAGACGACGAGGATTGCAGGGCCAGATTGATGAGATTCTTGTTCTGCGGCGTGCGCCTCTTCTTGAACGACGTGTCCATGGGCGACGTCACCGAGTTCGTGTTCGTGTTAGTGTTCGCCGTGTTCGTGTTGGCGATGTTGGACGCGGTCACGTTGTTCTCCATGGTGAGGTTCTCTTCCGGCGAAGCTTTCTGCGAGTTGTTGTTGCGATTGTTATCGGAGGTCTCCGAGGCCGGCTCCTGGGACGACTTGTCGGAAATGGGCGAGAGTATGTGGAGCTTGTTGGCATGGTGAGTCAAGAAACCGGTCATAGAGGGTTGTTGATGGTGACGGTGGTAGCAGTTGGTGCTACCGCTGTCGGAGCTGTGAGAGCTGAGGCTGGTGCTATGGCGGCTCTCGGAGCTGCTGGTGGATCTGTTGCCCTCGCTGGTGCTGCTCCGTAGAGACTCCATGCTACCGCCGCTGCTGCTGGTAGCCATGCTCTCCGTGCTGGAGTACCCTGGTCGGCGTCTGCTGGTCCGCAATTTGAATTCCAGAAGGCCTACGTCGCGACGCGGTCGCAGCAGGTCGCTCTCAGCCTCGTGGGGCCTGCCCTTGAACTCCATGATAGGCTTGCTCTCGCGGATCAGACTTCGCGGTCGTTGTCTCTCCTCCTTCGGCCTGCCCTTGAACTCCAGGATCAGTTCCTTGTCGAACCGTCGACCCTGGGTGGACTCCACGTTCTCTTGAGCAAAATTCTTTGGTCTGCTTTTGATCTCCAGTATGCTGCCCTCGCTGCTCTGCGGCGAGTCCTTGGCCCTGAGCAACGACTTCACGGGTAGTCTCAAGTCTTTCAGGCGCGGATGGTCCGGTTGGGAGGGTAGATTCGGCGTGCTGCGTATATTCAGCAATAAGTGATCACGATTCCCGTGGAACTTTGCTGGCAACGGTGCCGTGGATGGAGGCGACGGAGTGTAGCCTCTGGCCGGTAGCCGCGGAGACCCGTTCTTCTCGTCGCTTGAATTGATCTGGAGGGATTCGATATCTTGGGACAGAGTAGAAATATTGTCTGATTGCTGTTGTTGCTGTTGCTGCTGCTGAAGACGGCTCGGAATCGGTTTTGGGCGGAGAAGTACGACTTTGCGTCGATCTTTGCTGCTGTGGGACTGTCCAGGGTAAAGGACCTGCTGCGATTGCTGCTGCTTCGACGTGTCCGTCGACGAACTCGTTCTGCTTACCGGTATCGCGCTGTTGCTCCTCACCTGCAATTTAATACAGCGTGGGGTTAGGGCTGGACCGAGCACTCGCGAGAAACGCGCGGTGTCCCATATATGTGTGACAGTGCTTTTCACTGAAGAACTAAAAACATTGATTCTGGAAATTAAATGTTAAAGAAAATGTGATGTCAAAGAGAATGAAATATTTGAATTTCGATGAAGTTACAAACACAAACATCACGATAATTGTTGATTATATAGTTTCTGGTAATCTATAAAGAAGATTTAATTACAGTAGAAAGTTTACAGTCAAGTTACAGTCAAGAGTATCAGTTTGGCAGTCAACGTGTTAACTTTTTGCCCTACAATGACGAGTGTCATTGATGTAGTCATTAATGTTTACTATGGCCTGAGCAATCAAGAGATAGCGTGTAGTTCAAGGGGTTAACGCAACGGAGAAACGTATTTTTAAGCATTGAAACTGTAATTACACTGTTCGGTAAATGGGTATGTAAACGACGAGAGTAACTTTATCGCGCAGGTTGTAATATCCAAGAATAACCCCTTCGCTTGTACACCGTCTGGGAGTCAGGTCTTGCATCGATATCATTTTCAGGTAAAAATGGAATCGAATGGGAAGCACTATCCAGACAACGACTAGATTCACGAATCCATACGAATCTCTTTCGATTAAAAATTTTCTGATTTTTATTCTAATGATATTGTTACTTCTACATAAGCTACAAAATAGATACATGTTCCCATTGATAATGGTGATTTCAATATTGAGATTGAAACTAGTTGGTATAAATAATGCGCGAGTAAAATTGATGAAAACAATCGAATATTATTTACTACTCAACTTAACATTATGACGTAATCGCTTGGAATTCATATTCTACCATATTAAATTCTACTTATTCATCGCGAAAATGCAATTAGATCAGCGCGTAACAACCAAGTGTACGGTTTAACCGCAATTAAAGTCTAATTTGTGCTCGGTAGCGGGAGATACGTAATTTTCAGCCCGAAAATTCGTAACATTTTTAGCTGTATCAGACTTTAATTACTTTCCATTAAATCCTGAGTCAGCACCCAACAATCCAACTTTCGTAATATCGTGACATTCTAAGACGAGTACTGATGATATTAACAGAACATTTCTCAGATAACAATGTCGATAAGAATAATTTGTCCATGTATTTAAAAACAATAAAACATGTACGATATTGTTAAATGGATTTGAAAACAAAAAAGAAAAACGTGAAACGTAATAAATAGACTGCGGATATTTATGCAAAATAAAAACGTACCTACAAAAATTGAACCTAAATGGGAATTTATTTGATTCTGCAAATATTGTAACATGAACTTTACTTTCAATCTTTTTTATATTCTAGCATATTGTTTTCATTTTGTAGGTTCTTGCACGGTCAAATTTCCTATAAACGCATAAAGATCCGCAACCTACTAATAAGAGATTTTGTCGTAGCGATTAGGAATAAGAATTCGAATCACTAACCTGCGAGTGCAACACCGGATGATTCGTGACCCGATCGAGGTCATCGAGGTCGTCGTCGGAGCGATTGACTTTGCAGTCGAAGGCCGTCTCGTAGAGGTGACGTTGCCTAGCCATTTCTTCCTCGTCTTCATCCACCTCCACGTCCTCCTCCTCCTCTTCCTCCCCTTCGTCCTCTCCCTCCACGTCGTCCTCGTCCTCGACGAGTATCGGTTGCGGATCTATCCTCCGTGTACGTCGTAGCTTGCGCACTTGGTGCCGCGTTAACTGCGGCTGACGTTCATCTAGCTCATCCTCCTCTTCGTCTGGCGATGCGACGCAGGTACAAACCGTGGTAGGCAGGTCATGACTCAACAGCCTATGCGGAGGCATGAGGGTATGATCCCACTCGGTGATGATGCACGACGAGAGGATCTCGTTCCTGGCTGGGACAGCATGCTCGCTCCCCGACGTGGGGCTCACTAGATCCTGGCTTTGATAATGTTGCGGCTGCGACAGCTGTTGCTGCTGTTGCTGAGACGAATAGGTACCCCCATCACCTGCCACCGAGTTCCTCTTCGGTATACCGGGTGTCCTCGATCGTTCACCCGGGACGTCGAGACTCACGCTTTTCCTGTATTTGTTCGGTTGCGTTTTGCTGATCTGCTCGGGCACCTTGAACAGGTCGCCGTAGTAATAGGGTGACGGATGACGTACCGGTTGATTGGACTCTGTCGGTGATTGATCGGCGAGGTGCACCAGGGCTACGCATCCGATTACAGAACCGTCGATGGACGTTATCTCCTTGTCCCTGTCTACAGAGCGAGTACGCGACGAGGAAGTCGCGTACACGCTGTTCTTGCGTTTCCTGATGTCCGCCTGGCGACCCTCTTCGTCATCCTCGCAGGACGATCCCGATGCCGAGGGGTCTGCAACAAGAAACGAATGCACGTGCTATGTTTTCATGTAACGAATTCAGGTAACGAGGATAAGCTTCATGGATGCAGTGCTTCTTTACTGGTTTCATTGATAGGAGAATGGTTTTAAAATTTGTCAAAGGGTTAAACTTTACTTCGACGCGCTACAAATTATTGGCTTTTTCTTCGTTGGGTGGCAAAGCCCACCCAATATGCACGAGGCCGTTGCAAACTTACTCGGACAGTATTTTCGTAACATGTTCTACCATTTTGTTGTTATTTAAAAATGTATTGTTCAGCTACGAACGCTATTTACGAACATCTGTTTATAACAAGTGATTGGAGAAATGACGTTCCCTTCCTAATTTACCAACAGAGCAGCGGTAAAAGCCAATATGGTGTCGCATTAACTTGCGAAGTACACCAAAAGTGCTCAACTTTAGATACGAATAACTTTCAAACCGTTGGATTTCAAACATTAAACCTTCCATTTGTGTGATTTAGGCATCAAAAGCTACTAAATGATATAAAAACAAAGTCAATCATTTTTAGTCCCCCAAAGTACAGTTCAGCCGAAAATACATGTTACGAAAATACTGTCTGCGTACGTTTGGTGTCTAATTTTAATTGTTCTTTTTGGATAGAGATTGTTTTGCTAGGTTCACATTACAGACGTAACACAAAATAAATAATGCGTGAAACGGAATACATCGTTCCTGAATGTTAAATCTTTAAGTTATGGGATTACAAACTGACTCGGTAGGTTCTGAGAAAAGGATGCTCACTGCCTTACTGTAACAGGTTTACAATAATCCTACCGATCACTCGCGATGCTACCCAGCGACGCTCAGCATCGACAAAATGGGAGCAGATCCCGACCCTTCCTCCCCGTTCCCTCGAAGGTTGAGTTCGAAGCCGTGACAGTAATGTATAAAAGAGACCTGGCAGAGTCCCACGTGGACGAAAATGAAATCGCCAAAATGACGCGAAATTTTCATAATCGTTCCGTTATAGAAGCGTCGGTGGCTTCGGCTACTCAGGCGCCGAAGAAACGAGAGCAAAAATGCTTATGGGGAGAACGAAATTGCCGTGAAATGGCAGCCTCCTCTCCTTAAAAATCACTTCCTCGGTCCACGAGATATTACCGTAATGGTTTCTGGCCTGTCTACCCTGACACGGTCTCTTCACCGTCCCTCCATCCTTGTCGTTTCTTTCGCGCACTTTGGCTCGTTCCGGCGTCGCCTAACGCCAACCCCACCCTAGTTTACGATCCCGTCACGAGCATCGGAGGTAAAACGAGGCTGGGTTGTACTGCGAGGAAGCCAGAAATTACGCGGACACCCGGTACGTTAGCCAGCCGAACGTACGCACGCGGTAGAGACGAAAGGACTGGAGATAATGGGAGCATTATGCTCGGCCGGAGGGCTCTAGCGAAATCCTTCCTCGCTCCTCCTTGCTAGGGTGGTAAGTGCAAGAGGCACACCATAAACCACGCCAGAAGCTGCGTCTGACAGGTACTGCCTTCACGGATATACGGAAAAAACTTTTCCAATGGAGGCAAAAAATTATTATCAGAATCCCGTCTGATCTCTTGTGTCGCTGGCTTCGTTGAATCCCTGAAGAGGGCTAATACAACGTGGACTCGGAGCGAGATAGAATTAATAGAGAGAGGAGAGTAGGCATCGTCGAGTGCTTGAAGAGGGTTGATACAATGTCGACTACAAGCAGGATAGAGTTAATAGAGAGTAGAGAAGAGGCCTCGTTAAATCTCTGAACAGGGTTGCTACAATGTGGATTACAGGCAAGCTGGTATTAGGCGAGAATAAAGGTATTAATATTTAATACAATGTATTTTACTACGACACTGGACAGTAAAAAATGTATTTTTTGAAAATGAACACTTCAGTTTGTCTAAAGAAGTAGTTGAGTAGGTCAGTTTGTCTTTAGCTGTTAAACTATGTGGAAATGTCCCACAATATCCAAAAGAAGAAATTCTATGCGTAATCAGAAAATTGCATTGCATACGATACGATCATTTCGAAGAGACGTTCTCCCAAACAGTACGGAAATTATTAAATAAAGTTTCCCAACATCGGTAACGAGAGAACGAGAACGTGAAACTGTGTTAATACAGAATTGAGACTGATGTTGATACAGAAAATCTAGTTACATATACGAAAGACGAAGGTACATACTCGTCTGTATGAATTTGCGCTGAGCATAGCGAATCAACTTATTACACATTTCAACGCGGTTTCATTATCACCAGACCGTCGAAAGTTGGTCCTCGCCATACGAATATAAAAGGCCTCGGCCGAACCGTGAAACGCGAAATGAGAAATTAATTCCTGAACAATGAATCCCGGAAATTATAACACGTGCCGCCACTTTCACGAAATTGCGGACGGGTCTCGGACAATTCCTTTTCATTTTTCCTTTCCGCTATTTCCGGCACGTTCCAGCTGTAGATATAAGCGACGAAGAACACCGAGGATGTATGCAAAGATATTCGTATTCTTTTATAAACGGTGGCAGACGAAATGTACTGCCAGCACCCAGGCGATAATTCTTCGCGAAACGGTAAACTACAAGCACGAGCAGTGAGTATTTTTGACTCTTTTAAATATGGATGTAATTATATTTAGTCACGGTTAATAGTTTATAATTGTTGCTGTAGGTAGAATACTACACCTATATCCATTTCCCTTAAAGCAGATGTCGCGTTGCACCGTTAAGATGTACAAACTCCCAACGCAAGTAGAAATAGCGAGATATGGTCAGACGCGTAATCAAAGTGGCAAGCATGCCTGTAGTATTTCTAAAATTAATTTTCTTCTAAACAAAGCATCATGGAAAAAAATTGTGTTCCATATTTTTGGTGTATTCTTTCATGCAAGATTTTGTCGCGCAAGTAGAAATAGCGAGATATGGTCAGACACGTAATCCAAGTGACAAGCGTACATGTAGCATTTCAGAATTAATTTTCTCCAAAATAAAGCATCATGGAAAGAAATTGTGTTCTACATTTTGGTGTACATTTTTCATGCAATATTAGAATTTTACGTGTTGATACCACGTTTTGCAGGAAATCCTCTATAATAAGTTCTTGAATGTAAACTCATCATCGAAAATTGTAGAAGAGAAATAGAATTGACGTCACCTCGTGTTCTTTAATCATCAGTTCAAATTATTTTCCATTTACCTTTGTTTCTTGCAATAATATTAAATTGTTCACAAATCAGACACATTGAATATACAAAATTTCTTATTCCATTTGTATACAGGCATGAAATTAACGAACGAATTTTGATAAGAGGACATCTAAATTCCAAGAACAAAAATACCGCAAAAATATAGAGACAAAGTGTACCAGTTGATTTATTTACTCCGACTTCTGCCAATGTTCCATTGGAAATTACATTTGTTTAAAAACGATGAAGCGTCCTCGAGTTCCAACCACCCATTCGCCTTGCGGACCTAACCGTTCGATATGTACGACGAATTGATGCATTGTTGAAATGGCGCACGCCCAAAACATCCATCATGTTTCCGTGTCAACGGCGCTAACGTTCGTTTCGCATGCATACTGCCCAAAAAAGCCGATATCGCTCTGGGGGTTTTCGCAATGTCGTTGGAAACGTTGCTCGCGAACGACTTTTCATATTCGGGAAAGTACGATAAAATTGAAAAAATCATTTTGCCTGTCTACACTCGTAAACCGATCTATAGAAATAATCTTAGTACTCGGATGACGTGGATGTTATCGCCTACAGAGATTGTGGAAGTATTTACAGAGCAAATAATGATACAGCTGATACAAATTAAATAGAAAAAAAAATTCACATGAAATGTATTATTTCGTATACATTATGTGGTCATTATTCTGTCAATTAGGTTTTGTTTACGATCGTTGATAAAATTATTACAAGTAACGATAAGAAAAGTGTTTTTTCTTAACAAAGCAATGAGAATTATACAGGGTGTCCCAAAAATGTTGGAGGTCCTTGAAAAGGGTGGTTCAAGGGGTGATTTGAAACCAAATTTTCGCTATGGAGAAAGTTGTTTCAATATACTCCCCGAACCACCCCTTTCAAGGACCTCCAACATTTTTGGGACACCCTGTAGATTAACTGTAGCACATACAGTCATTCTACACTATAAAATTAATCGAAAATAAAAGACAAAATGTTTTCGTATGAAACTTTGTTCACAAAAGAATTAATTTTGAATTAACTTGTCTGACGTGTCTGGCCATTATTCGCCATTTCTACTTATTTGGCTCTGCTTCTCTGCGAGTTTGCAAACTGAAAGTTTTCTAGTACTATACAAAATTAGATATCGAATCACTCGTATCTGTACGAAACCTAAAATCAGCGGATCGTGTTAATCACTAATGGCATCTCCATCATTGTAACAGGCGGAGGGTCGTCATAATATGATTCCACGACTGGGGGATTGTCACTGTCATAGCTCATGGCTCCATTGTTATCGTTATTGATTATTCCATTTCGGAAGTTGTCGAAAATTAGTGTCTTATGAATTGATGAGCGTCAATGTTACATTTCATGACACGAAAACCATTAGGCAAGTGTCTTCTATGCAGAAGTAGATACTGTCACCGAATTTCCTGCAAATCGTTGGTCATTGTTATCGAAACCTAGCCATCAAATTTCCGTCGAAACAACGGTGGTAATCCAGGATCTCTATAAATCACAGAGTGCTGCTCTACTATTAACATTGTTGGGGTTGTATCTTGAATGAAACAAGTTTAATAAAAAGGCAGCTTGATATATTTAAAAAAGGTTTGTAATACACGTAACGTCCCAGGACTTTATCTTGCGCTTGTTCGCTCCAACTGTTTCTGTCGAACAGCCGAAAAATAACAGCCAGAGTACTTAATTCCGAAAGTGCCTTCGAGGACCGGGGTTTTATTCCCGGCCACTTTATCACTCCTGTAAAACCGTTGATATTGACTTTTGGTATTGAGTTTATCAGGAAGTAACGATTGTTTA